ATCATCACATATACCTCTACTTATACATCTCATATCATTTCTCATATAATCACCTATGTCCTATCTAATAACATATAAAATTAAACATGTACTCATATACCCTCTTTCATAAAATCCACATAATAATGGCATATACTCATATCACATAATTATTTCACATGACTATATTTTAGGTTCATTTCCATGCATAAATCATATAACACCTAAGTCTTCCTCATAGAGTTTATCCTACATGTTCATATAATCTCATATTATCCTCTATGTCAATGCTACTTATCTTATCTCATTTTTCCATTTACTCACATAGATCATTTATACCCATTCACATGGTTTATTATACTAACCTGAATTCATACAGATCATGTAACCTATACAATAACATATAACTTATATCACATTATTTATATACTAATTTAATCTATTTATTTAGTTCAGTTCCACATGACTCCTATAACCTTTCATAGGCTTCATAGCTCCTTACTCTATAACTCCTATATCATAGTTTCCTTTAATTATAAATCTTCCCTATATCGCTTATCTTATAGATTCATATCATCATTTATGTTCATGTCCCCAAATTTTTATACAATTCTTATAGAGTCTCATAATTCATTATGTTCATATCATCATATATATCATGGTTTATATTTTGTTCTCTTATATTTATATATTCATAAATCTCTTATGTTTATATCACATATATTATTTATATGAATTCACATGGTTTATTAGACAACATGTAACATACACAGTAACATATATCACATACACTCATATTCAAGTACTCAGCCACACATAACAATCATATTAAACACATGCCAACATTTCATGAATTCATGCATTATAATATAGGAAATAGACTCATCGCAAGTCTTATTTCCATTCAACATCATATATCAACTAGTATGCACTCACCTTAATCCAAATCCACTTTATGACTTTATCTCTCTTGATCGATCCTAACTCTTCGGTCGTTCCGGAACTTGCTTATACTCGATCTCTACACAATCATACATTTGATATACATATCAGCAATCCAAGTATCATAATTCAATCCTTACTAATCCAAGCTAAAAGAAATTTTAAAGACAATTTTCCACTTGAGTAGTATCGGTACCCTATGTATGGTACTGATACTTCCCTAGCTGTGGTATCGATACCAAGCCTGGGTATCGATACCCTTTTTCGATTCTGTAATCTTTATTCCAAAATGGTACTGATACTGGCCTCATGGTATCGGTACCCTTGGTATCGATACTACCCCTTAGGTATCGATACCCCTTAAATAACTTGTCAAATTTTAGTTTATGCTATTGATACTGTTCAACCAGTATCGATACCCATACTCCAACTATCAATCTTTTACCCTTGAAGTATCGGTACTGGATGAATCAATACCGGTACTCATAGCCCAGAAATCACTTTTTACAACTCAAAATTTACCAATATCATCTTAAATCCTTCATGTCTTATTCCCTTTTATACACTTAAACTCAAATACATATACTCAAATCAATTTATATTCTTATAATACATCATTATCTTCAAAATCTCATCATATATCTTGAAATCAAGAATCTTACTAAATTTCCAACATGTTCAAATTTCATTTCTAACACTTTAGATTTCTTATTTTAACTGATGAAAAGTCAAATTTAGTCTCAAACTTTACTTACTAACTCTCTCCTAAGATTTCACTTATAAACCTCTTATCTTTAATCATTCCTAACTCTTTCATCTTTTAGTTTTAATACAACTTAATCTTTCCTTAAGCTTAATTATCATCTAAAGAACATAAACCAAACTTAAAATTAAGAAATTGTCAACCAACATGAAACTTACCTTTACAACTGAGGTTCACGACTGAAGGAGGAAGAATACTCTGGAGTTTTGTTTTCCTAAAACTCCACGTAGTTACTATATAACCTTAACAAAATAATTATCTTGTTTTTCAAATGACCATTATGCCATTCAATCTTTTCATTCCTACTAATCAATCCTCTTAAATAAAATTCTCAATTAAGTCCTTGAACTTTTAAATTTTCATAATTTGATAACCAAATTTTAAAATTTTCCATTTTAGTCACTAACCCGGTTTTTGGGATGTTACATTAAGGGCTCAAAATGAAGCTCTAAGGGAGGGGATTGTTGTTCTTACCTTCACTAATCTAGACTAAAAGTGTTGGATAACAAAGCTATAGCTTTGATAACTTACAAGAGGAAGAAGAAAAGAGAAGAGGAAGAAGACAAAGAAGCATGCCTTCCCAACGTGTGACCTCATCCATTTTAATGAGAAATCAACCTTATTTCAAACACGGGTCTAATTACTCCCTTGGTCCTTCCTTATTTGTTCTTAATTCAAAAATATCATTTTTATCATCTTTTGGGCTCAATCCAAGCCACACTTAACCCAGTCTCTTCATGAAGGTCTACATAAACGCCCTAAGCCCAAATGGTTTACTTGAAACTACTAACCCGATATTTGGGGTGTTACATAAATATTTTACAGTGTTAAAAGAATATATGATTCAAATTTGATAAAAAAAATAAGCTTGAATTGAGGAAGGAATTAAGGATAAGTATTCAAGTTAGCTGAGTTAAAAAATTCAAATTAATCGAGTTCACAATTATATTTTATAATTTAAATTTTATTTAAAGAATTTAAATTAAATTAAATTAAATTATTATTTTTTAAATCGAATCAAATTTTGCTGAATTCTAGTCGTGAGTGAAGCCAGATATGGGTTCAATCATTTACTGGGACACAATCAAACGTTTTTTCACTTATTTTAAAATAAAATTTTACTGATTTGAATGAATTTTTTTTAATTTAATTGTATAATTATCACCAAATTTAAATTTATTTTTAAAAAAAATATCAATTCCAAAATTTTAATCAAGACAGATTAGAATCATTTGAGAAAAAAATAATCTTATTATTCTTTTTTGACAAAATAATCTTTATTATTCAAACTTTGACCAAATGTTATCTAGATATAATGTAAAGTACTCTCATGCCATCACATGCTTGAATCATGTTAATTATAAATATACTATAGTAGGTTTAATAGCAATATCATATGCTTGAGTTATGTTTTCTCTCGTGGTCCATCGTTCGAATTGGTTGTCCTTCTACTAAAGTTATGTCACATTAGCTTGTTCGTTAAGTTTTTAACAATGGGTGCTAAAATGAAACAAAAACTAAACGTTAATTATGATTTTGGGAAAAATAAAAGTTTAGATAATGAAACGAACCAAAATTGATAAACTTTAAACACATAGTTTACCCTATTATTTTTTAATAGTTTAGTTTCATTGTAATGTAATATTTGTTTAAAGATTTTCAATGCAGTTACTTGAACTCAAGATTTCTAAGGAAAACATTATTCTCTTTAACCATTGAGATCACCTAATGAATACAATTTTTTTAAACCTTAATCTTTATATTAATATTTTTAATATTTAAATTATTTTAATCCTCACATAATCTTATAAATAAAACTATGTTGTGAATCTACTCATCTATCATTACGACCGATATTATATTGAAAAAAAATACTACTACTACATCATGATAAATAAGGATGAATATTTGATTTAAATTTGATGGATTTCGATATGATATGATCATATAAAGTTAGATGTTCACTGAAAATGGAGTTTGAATTAGGTCAAGTCAGATTTTTTTTAATGATAAGGTCGATCGGAACAAATTTAAGTTAGATGTAAATTTTATCCTTAAAATTAAATCAAGTTTTAAATCAAATAAAACTTCTTTAAATTTATATCAGATTCAACTAGATCAAAAACCTGACCAACCTATGAACATCCCTCATCATTAAACAATGAGCAAAATTCTCTAATAGAAAAGTATTCACGCTTGTATGTGGAGCTAAACAAGAACAGATACATGATTTTGTGTTGTAGAGACGAAATTCCAAAATTTTAGAGAAGAATAACTTGTAAAATTTTATGGGACCAAAATAGATTATTAATAAATATTATAAATATAATATTTAAAATATATAATAATTTAAAATTTTCAAGATAAAGACGGTTCTATACGATTTTCCTTAATCCATTCATGAACCAAATATGAGTTCATGGTTTAGTAAGACACGGACTTACATGATTTAATGAGACATACATTTACTTAGAAATTTATTTATGAGTTATATTTAGATAGAAATATTTTACCCATTCAAAGCTTTATTTAAAATAAAATTATTTTGATTTATTTGTATAACTATCAAAGAAATTAATTTGAGTTCATTATACCTTTTTAAAGAACAATTCAAAAATTTTAATCAAAACTGGTTGGGTTGTTGAGAAAAATAATAATTTTATTATTCAAACTTTGACCAAATGTTATCTAGATAGAACGTAAAGTACTCTCATGCCATTGCCATCTATGCTTGAATCACATTAATTATAAATACAGTATGGTAGGCTTAATTGCAATATCTTCATTAAGTGCCCTTTCTGACCTAATTAAAAAAGGGTGAACTAAACGCTTAGTATCTTAATTATCATTTGTTCTATTTTAATCACTAAATTATTTTTTAAATCATGTTTAACATTAAATTCTGATTTTATTTTAGTCAATTATCTTAAAAAATTAATAAAAGTATTGACGTGATATTTTTTTTTCAATGATGTCAAATACCTTATAGACATGTCATCATTGCCTTTAATTCTTTAATAGAGAGTGACTAAAAAAAATTAGATAATCAAAACGAAACATAAATAATAATTTGCATGCTAAACATGAAGTCTACCCTAGAAAGAATTCTCCAATAATTTCGACAAACATTTTAAAAGGAAAAAAAAATTCCACCAACCATATATTTATATATATAATATATATTACGTGCCATTTTCGATACTAGCGAAGATAAGAAAGAGCCTCATCGTCTCTAAGTTTCTCATGCTTTCCCTCTTAACCTTTCCAAAAAGCTTCAGTCTTTTTTTTTGGTTTTCACTCTTGAATCCGCTCTTCTTCTTTACACACTGCACACTATAGTCAAGTACCGACCAGGCTCCCTGAATCTATCGCTTTCTATGTGAGTTTCTTGATCTCATTATATGTCGTTTAAGATGGAAAATTTCGAGGGATTTTTCCCTGGATCATCATCCTTGAACCTAACGAACTCCCATGGTTATGGTGAAGTTCAAGGTGAGAGGGATAATGGGATATTGGGATTGATGGCGGAGATGGGAGTTTCTGCTGTTAAGAAGAATGATTTGTGTATAAATAAGGGTTTTGGTGGGACGACGGGTGAGAGTGAAGAGAAAATAGATAAGGAGAAGAAGAAAGGAGGAAATAAAAAGATGAGAAAGCCGAGATATGCTTTTCAAACCAGGAGCCAAGTTGATATTCTCGACGATGGTTATCGATGGAGGAAATATGGTCAGAAAGCTGTCAATAACAACAAATTTCCTAGGTACTTATTTCTTATTACTCTTTACTTCATATATCTAACGTTTCAGATACTAAGAAATTACAAACTATCTACTTAGTTTGCTAGTCTCGAATAAACTTATCCTTATTTCTTGTTTAGACACACTAATTCATCAACTATTACATGGAAAAATATTTACTCACCATGTGCATCTCATTCAAGAAGTTAGAAACAATCATTTATCTTTGAGTTTTGAAATAGTTAGGTTACACCTTCCGTGCATTATTTTCGAAAAGTTGTGATCTATTGACACGATTTTCACGTGTCTTATACTGAATCTACTAACTACTTAGTTTGTTAGTCTACAAGTAACATAATCACTATAAAACTTTTCGATGAAGACCCAGAGAAAAACCATTTTTATCTTTTCTATTTTTCTTCTATCTCCTAATGGAAATAAAATACTTTGACACCGGTGAAAGGTTGTCTAATCACCGACGGAACCAGTGGTGGAGCCATAGCTTGGTTGCCCACCTTAAAATTTAAATTTTCTTTGATTAGTTATTTATTTTATTGATGGTGTACATCCTGAAATTTTTTGTGCCCGTCCTAAAATCTGAATTTTCTTTGATTAATTACTTATTTTATTGACGTGCCCATCCTAAAATTTTATTTGTACTCGTCTTATTTAAAAAAAATTATGTTGTTAACCTATGTGTGCCCAACCTAAAAGATATTTTTAAATCCGTCGTTGGTGATAACTCTCTACCCAAAAAAAATAATTGTCTGTCACCATCATAAATCATTTGTTACTATCAACAAATAACTGAATCTCTAACTTGAAATCGACAACCATTGAAAGAAGAGATCTCGTTTACCTTTTAAATTCAAATGTATGGTACTTGGATGTCGTGAAGTGTGAATGTGAATCCTTCAAAATTACAGTAATTCACTGTTTTCAAAGCCAGCATGCATGAAGTAGGAGCTATGTCTTTAATTGAACATTAGAACTCCGTTGGTAATTAACTAATCACGTTTTGTTAATATTTTACTTTTGCAGAAGTTATTATCGATGCACACATCAAGGATGCAACGTTAAGAAACAGGTTCAAAGACTAACTACAGACGAAGGAATCGTTGAGACAACCTACGAAGGCATGCATTCACATCCAATCCAGAAAACTAACGACAACTTCGAGCATATTTTGAGTCAGATGCAAATCTACACTTCTTCCTTTTAAATCAATATCAGTAGATTTATATTTAGTATTGTAATATTCTTATAAATTATGAAACAATTACATATCATTGGATTAAAACGATTGATTTAAAATAATTATATCAAAATAAAATTGCTAGTGCGAAATTGATTGTCTACTTTTATTAAGAAAATATACGTTGACAACATTTTTTTAATCTAATTTGTTTTTTTAATATATTAAAATTTAGATATGGATTGAGTTACTGTTTCTTTTATCAAAAGAACAAGTAGTGCATCTTATTATATACCATTACCAACGTAGAATTTTATATTAAAGATGAGTTTATAAAAGTTTAGAAGGTAAATTTAAAAAGTTTTTAAGAACAAAATTAATTTATTAATAAAATATTTAAATTAATATAAGTAAAGATTTGAACGAAATCAAATTATTATAAATGTAATGAGAGTGGGAAGAGATGAAGGCATTATATAAATCAAGTTGGTATTTTAACTTGGGTGAGACGGTATTTGATTTGAATTCGATAAATTTTGATTTAATTTGATTGAGTTAATTCTTTTTTATCAAGTTCAGATTTAGATCAGGTTGTACTTTTTATAAAGAATATGATTGGGCCAAGTTGGGTTTGTGTTTAAAATAAAAAAACCTGAACTCGACCTAAAATAATATTATAATTATTCTTAATATATCTTGTCACACCCCTATCTATCTAAGGGTTAAAAAATTCTTTTTTAAAAACAAAGATTAAATCAATATTTTGCCAAAAATTGAACTTGATAAGTTGTTTTTCAGCATTTTATCTTCTGATTCGATACGATTTTCAAAGTTTAAGTCCCGTTTTTAGTGTAATTCGTTTTGCTATGTATCCAAAATATTATTGGATGTCGAATTGAAGTTCGACGATGATTGAATGAAGTTGAAATGGCTGACCGAGGTAGCTCAGAAATCGAGATAATACTTTACTATCATATTCATGTTTTAAGGTACATGTTGATAATTGGTCATTGCATGAATTAATATGAGTTGGATATGAGTTATGATTGATTATTCTAAACCTACAATGACTTCGATATAACGTTAATAAGTTGATTAAAACTTAAATGACTAGTATAAGGAGCTAGAGGACCAGTATGAATTTTTAGGTTGAATGAAGTTAACCTCTGAACTTTAAATTCTGACTTTTCTTGTTAAGAGTTTTAATACCGTAAATATTTGAATGAAAAATGACAAAAATACCCTAAATGTATAAGGCACAACACCTCAAATTTTTTATTCCTAAACATATAACTAAAGACTAATTTACCGAAGTACTCTTTATGTTTGAATTGCCCGAAATGACTGAAATATAAGAAAATGCTGAATTAAATGGAAAGGTTGTATTGAATGAAAGGATTGAAAGATCCTTAAGTACTGAAATAACCTAAATACCATCATTACCTGAATTAAGCGGATGTATTTGGATAAGTTCTGAAAATATCAGTGAAGCTTTAAATGTTGTAACTCCCATAGGGTTATGGAGTACGACCTAAGTATTACAATGTTGTAAATAAATATCACCCGAATACACGTTCGTCTCCTCGGGATCCATTCAATGATGATTTTTGAAGGTGATTAGTTTAACTATATAATACAACCAGTATTACGAAATGTATAATTATAAAATATCTCTATCAAATTACTTTGTGTATATAGCATACTGAGATCTGTTTGGTTTGATTAGACTTGAAAGGTTGATACATCATTAAATATTATTAAATTAAATTACTAAAATTCTCCAAGAATCAAATGTCTAAAATGCCTTGGTAAGTCTAATTGATGAAATCACTCCAGGAATATATGAATCTTAAATAATACGAATGTACAGTTTCTGAATACCTTTTTGATATATTTGAATCCTAATTATCCTGATGTATTAATTTTCAAATGTCTGAATAAGACCATTAGTTAATGAACATCCTTTCAATAGGGATCTCATTTTTGAAATCAGTTCGAATTTGTTAGAAGATCTGTGTTCTCTTCATTATAATTATTAAATACTTCTGAGAAATAAATTGTATTATATCATCGTTCTGGTTTACTTATATGAATTACTTTAAAATCTTTAATTTGCTTTTTGATGGCATGATCTCGATTACCGTTATTTACCTGATATGTAAACATGTTATGGATTATCGAATATTTTTCCGATTTAACAAATCAAATCATTGATTTTTTTAAACACATGTTTTTTTATTGTTATTAGTGGATTTTTGTTGAGGAAGTATTTCAAGCTTAGTATATGGCTTGTAAGACATTATTGTGGGCTCTTTTGCTTTATGTACGGGTTAGGTTTTTACAGCATGTTCCTTTGCTTATACACATAGTAGGTCCTTACCATAGGTTATTATGCTAAATACATAAGGTCCTTACCGGGTGTTCAGGTGGGTGAATGGTTCTAGGGAAACTACACATTTTAACGTTCGGATGGAGAGAAATTAGATAACTTTTAAATTAAATTTTTATTGTCTATTTTTAAAAGCATATTTTAATAAAATATATTATTATTGTTTAAAACTATACATACTTTTTCTTTGTACTGGTGGGACACATTAGACTCCCCAACTTAACCTTTGTAATCTACTTATCTGATTCTTATGATCTATAGACTTCTCAACTATTACTTGAAGAATCACCTGATGAAATTTCAGCTCTTCACTATAACCTATAGATATCTGGATCATTAAGGAATTTCATGCTTTACCATGTATCTACTTAACTGATATCATTATCTGGTAGTTCTATATTACCGAGTTTTTCTAAAGCTCACTTTATGACTTAACATTTCAAGTTAAAGGAAATGATCTTGTGTTTTTATCGATATTAGTTTTGAGAGTTCCACTGGCGTTGTTTGCAGAGTATGATACAAATGTAATTAGGGGCATATAGGTCACATCTTACTTTTATACTGGAGTTTGAAACTTATTTTGATATTGTATATTATTGAAATTTGTTTTTAACGTCTGAACATTTTCTGAACTTGTGTTTTTATTTATAAGATTATTTTATAGTTTTAATTTGATATGTTAAAATTTTAGTTTTTTCTTGGATTTTGACTGTGAGTTGCTCCGGTGGCGTTAATGTGACATCTTGAATTGAATCAAGCCACCCATATCGATCAGAGGATGTTACATCTCTATAGATAATTACAATAATAATCCACTCTATATTGTTTTTTTCATTAAATTCTTATTTTATTTAATACAAATAACTTTTTATATACATATTAATCGGGGTTGGGTGGGCAAAAGCCCAACTTCAGCAGATCTGATCCGACCCATAAATCCCAAACTCTAATCCGTTTCCCGCCATTTTTCCATTTGCTCTCAATCTTTTGGCGCGCTTTTCCAGTCGCCACTTTGGCTTTTTTTCCCTGTTGAAACAAAAAGGAAAAATAACGAAAACGGCGTTTGTAAGCTAAGTACACAGAAAAAGAGAGAAGAAATGAAAGTAGTTCAATCACATAGGAAATCCAATTCCAACAATATTATCGTGTCCACTCTTCCTCTCTACCGATCGGCACCTCCCCTCGAAGTTCGCCACGAGGATTTCGAGCTCTTTGCCATGGATTGCCTCCGAGGTAACCTATTTTTCTCTGTTATTATTTTGTAAATCTTTAATTTGTCAAGAAACCCCTTCGTACGGATATTTAGGTTCTGCTTTAATATCTTTTGTTCACTGATTTGTTACTGACGGAACGTTATTAAAGAAAAGGAATCCAGAGTATAAGATTTCAGTTTTATGATAGTTTCGAAAAATATGAGAGCGTTACAGAAGGATTTGGAATACAAGTTTAGTTGTTTTTATTATGAGATTCACAAATATTGTTGATTTCGTGATTAAAGTTTAAATGTATCAGTTCCATCAAAGTCTCATATTTATGTTTTTGTATTATCTTATTCTTTTAATTGCTCGATGCGGTTCTTAAAGGTATCTCAGATGGATTACGCCGTGGAAAGAAATCTGAAGAAATAAAAAAATTGGTAATTCTATTGACTATGTTTACATTTCTTTGTAGCAATTTAATTGTTTTCCTGGCCAATTTCTCATACTGGATTTTCTCAGATAGTGAATCTTTGAAAAGAAAGTATGAGACACTCACAGGCAAATGAGGAAGCCAACAAGGATATTATATCATACTTTGTTCTTCGTCTTGTGTATGTAGAACGTAAGATCATAATATGTTTTGTCCTTCTTTTAATTGATTAATATTTATTACCATTATTCTCTTTATATGATTAAGTAGGAATTAAGAAAATGGTTTCTTTCCATGGAGACAACCCTCTTTCGCTACCATTCTCGCTCTGAAAGCTCTGAGGCACATGTAGCACATGTTCATTCATTTTTGGTGTTGGGTTTTCTGGTGTATTAAGCTTTTGGTAATTGCTTGTATGCTGATGTAATAGAGGGCATTGATGTCTGAGTTTAAGCTTCCCTACAAGGCAGCCAGCAATGCAGAATTTGAGGTACTTGTGCTTCACTATTTCTAATTCCATCAAGCTATTTGTTTTCAATAAGATGCAATTGCTTGAACCTTATTACAGCAGTGCATATGGTACTTTTTTTTATCTTCTCTAGGTTTTGAACTCCTAGTAACTGGAGGTATTCGTTTTTTTTTTTTGGCAGAGTGTGAAGGATAAATTGGGCCGAGTTGCATGCTCTATGGGCCAGACTTTAGCTGCTGGTATGAGATTACTGACTGGCTTCTATGCCTAATTCCCGCATGGAAGGCACAAGTTTATCTGTCTTATTACATCCCTTTTCATCTTACATTAAGTCATTTATTATGCACTTGACCTTTAAGTTTGGACCATGTTATTCATATGACTGATATATTCTGTTACAATCAAGCTTGATCAGATTTGATGAAAACCAACGGCGAAAATAAGTTTAACATATTATGTAATTGTTTGCATGTTTTTATTTTAATGCTAGAAATCTCTCTCCTGTGATGTCCATTTTGAAGCATAACCGTTTATAGTTTCAATTCCTCCAATAATGTAT